GTATTATTTATTTATTTATTTTTTTTCTCTCTCTTTTTTTTTGGGGGGGGAGAGGCACAGGGGGTGATTGGCAATATCTTTCAACTGGTTATAAAACCTTGTTATAAACAACTGGTCACATGTCTGTTAATTTGAAAGCTTATTCAATTCAATCTGCTGTTAGATTCCTAAGTTGGAATGTTAAAGGTCTTAACAGTCCAGTGAAGCGATCTAAAATTGGCTCCCATTTGAAGCGCCTAAACCCTGATATAGTATTTCTACAGGAAACACATCTGCAGAGTGCAAATTGGTCCAGGCTCAAATATTCATGGGTTGGAGAGATTTACCACTCGGGCTNAACATCGTCCAGCCAACTACAGAAATATTATAAGAAAACTAGTCAGCAGTCAATTTGCTAGCAGCTAGTTAGCGGGAGCCTCAACTGCAGGTTTTATCAACCAGCCCTTTGAGGACATTCATGGTTTAGCCCAAAATAAAAATGAGTTTGGCATCCTTGACATACACCGAGGCAGCCATCTTGGATTCCCAACCCTGCATGTCTTCTCTCTCTGGTCATTTCCTGTTTGACCTGCTGCTAATAAATGCTACTAGTGCCAGAAACCCTTCAAAAATACAGAAGATGTTAAAATACTGGAATCAAATGTGACACTTTTCCAGACTGGAACGTTTAGGCGCCCAACGTGAGACCAGACGTTTCCCATTAAAACAAGAATTAATTGATTATTTATTGTATGTTATTATATTATTAATTTGGTAATGAAGTTATGAGTGACATCAAGAAAATGCATCATGAAAAAACGTGTATTTAAATTGGTAAATGTCAAATTACAGAGGCAACAACACAATTTATACACAAGAATAGGTAAATAAGATTCTCTTCTTCCTGCTCCTTTCCCAGCTGTTTAAATGCAGATCATCATATAAAACATGAAACGATAATGTACTGTTCTTACTGAATGTATATCACTGAACATATTGGTGTGTAAGTGGATGTATATACATTTCCTTTGTACCCATTAAAGGGCATAAAGGCTTTTTAAAAACCGACTGACCAGGAGCTCAAAGGAAGCTTTATGGGGATTGGATGGATCTGCGTACCTGTGCAGTTTGAAGGAGTTGGCACAGTATCTGTGAGTCGTTTCTTTCTCCAGGTTGCTGGGAAGGTTGACGATGGACAGCGCTCCGAACGGGCATTTCTACGACGACAACAGGAAGTGAGGAAGAGAAACCTGACTCAACACAAACAAACAATCCAATCTGTGTGCTGCTACCTTGATGCAGATGCCGCAGCCTATGCAGAGCGACTCTGAGATCCAGACGATCTTACTCTGAGGAGTCACCTCGATGCACAGCTTACCTGCAAACATACACAGCTCATCAGCTTCCTGCAGCCGCCGCATCATCATCAATGAGTCCAAACACTCACCCATGCGGACCACCGGGCAGCTCTTCTTGCACTCCTGACGGCATTTTTTAGGCTTGCACTTGTCGTGGTTGACGATGGCGATCCTGGTGTTCTTATCCGCCATGTTGGAGGGCTGGGACGACGGACGCTAGCGTCTACGGAGCTGGAAGGAGGAGGCGGACGGAGGAGAGAAGATGAAGGAAAAGAATCAAACCTTTAATCTTTACTGCAGCAGCAGAAACAGAACCGCTGAGTTCATTCAGCTGATCCCAGGTCTGTGTGAAGCTGAAGTCAGGCTTCCTCTATTTAACTCAGCAACGCTAAAAAAAGAAGCGCTAAACTAACAGAACAGGAAACAAAATCAAAGAGTTGTAAAGGAATCAAAACAACTGAATTCTAGCTGGATGGAAAAGATTTTTGATTCAATAAAACAGGAAAAACTGGAAGAGTGAAACAGTTTATGTCCCACAGAATTAAACATTATAACTCATATTCATTTAGGATTTTCTCAGAGTTGCTGTAGAGGCTGAAGACTCTCCTGTAGCAGTCTGTAGTTCTTACAGCTCTTCTGCTGAGGCCTCTGACTGAAGTCTGTCACTGTGAGTTAATGAGCAGGTTTTGTGTATTTATATGAAATAAAAAATGAATGACGGACCTGTATTTACAGCAGGGCTTAAACGATTAATCATGATTAATCAATTATTGGAATAATCAACTAATTTAGTAATCGATTAATCATTAACTGGAGCATACAGACTAAAGAAGGTTATTTTCTGAAAGAACATAATCAGAACAGTGGTTAAGTCAAAACTATACAATTTATTTATTTTGCATTTAAGATTAAAAAAACTTCTGTCTGTAAATATATTATTGCATTTAGGCTATAAATCATTATTTTCTTATTTTTAAAAAATAATTTGTTTATTTGCATCTTTAAGTGTAATCTAATATACTATAATATTTAAGAAAAGCTTAAATGAAAAATCTAAACTATGTGCCAATTTTTTTATTTGATTAATCATCTGAATAATCGATTAATTGATAAAATCGTTATTTGCAGCCCTAATTTACAATTATTTTATGGTAGGCAACAGATGCTCACATTTATTGAAAGATAAAAATACACTTTAGTTTTTTCTGGGAGAAAATTAGAAGCTAAAATTTGTGAATTGAGGGGAATTTTAAGCCTTTCCAAGAGCTTTAACTCCGTGAGGAACAGATGGGAACCAGCATGGTGCACATTAATGTGCTTCGACCATCTTATTTGATGCCAAATCCTTCAAAATTTGACCTCCAGCTTCTCAGTTCAGACCCTGACAGAGAGGAATCTTATCTTTAGGCTTGATCAGGATTTTCAGCTGCAGCATCTGAACCTGTCCGGTTCTGATAAACCCAAACACTAAACGGTTTCTTTCTGACGTCTGGTGGTTGCTCTGCAGTCTGCGTCACACCTGCATGTTGGACCGGGCCTGCAACTGTTCAAAACCACCAGACATGATTGACCAACATTTAACTCCGAATCACTGACGACGCATTCAGCTTTTCTGCGTCCAAACGAAACGTGACGGGCGGTGGCGACAAGCATCTGAGGCAGATTTACTCCAGAATCCATTTACAAATATCAAATCAAACATAAGCCGAAATCATCAACTGATTCACGTGCTTGACAAAACACAGATATATGTGCTTTAATGCATATAGTAGATTGTTAAATTGTGAATATAATGTTAAATTCATTGGAAACCAAGCGGAGTTCGGGAGATTACCCTTCCGTTTTTACAACCTAGTAGGAGATATTTGGTTTCTGCTAACCAATAAGCTCTCATTGACAATTAAAACTGATAATATAATGAATCAATTTTAAATCCTCAAAGCAAAGCTGGAAAGAGTGACTAGATACAGTCAGTAGGGGACGCTAACAGTTAGCAGTTAGCTTGAGGCCCGCACCGTGACAGCTGCTCATTCTACAGCAACAGACAGAGAAAACCAAACAAAACCCTGGGTGACAGGTTGAAAACTCACCCCTCTTCGGCTCCCCTAACCCGCCTTCGGTGAAAATTAAGTATAGCAGCTGATTAGAAACAAATATTTGGGAGTAAAACTTGTTTTTTCCCCCAGCAACGTGTTTCACTTGAAGCCGGTTGGAAAGATGGCGGGAGTGACGCACATTTTGGTGCGACGCGGTCCTGTTGTGACGTTTATAAGAAGCGACGCAAAGCAGGAGCAGGAAAATAGCAGCAATAATTTCTTTTAGGCTTTTTTTCTAAGTTTTTTAATAAAGTCCCATTTCATGTGTTGACACAGTGTCTTTTGAGGAATATTTTAACGCTTATTGTGAGTTCCGCTGTGATGATTTTGTTTTAAACTGAGTTTTAGCGGTTTCAGAGGAGTTTTTAGTGGGAAAACTTGAGGTACGAGCTGCTAGCTGCGGCAATTTTAAAATGTTTATTTGCTGTTTCTGTCGAAATAAGTGATTGGTAGTTATATCTGGCTTGCCGAGTTTTTCGCAATGTCCGAACAAACTTATTCAGATCCCGAAACTGATCATCTAATGAGCTTATAGTAGTTTGTGTAAATAAGTTTTAAAATTTGTACAAGAAATCAGTTTTTCGCTTTGCGTATTAGAGCAAAACTCAACTAAATATCGCTTGTATTCGGTCTCCATAGTTGCAGGATGGCCACCCCGAGCAAGACCCCACCCGGTGCTGACCCGAAGCAGCTTGAGCGGACCGGGACGGTCCGGGAGATCGGCTCCCAGGCGGTGTGGTCGCTGTCCTCCTGTAAACCAGGTAGGAACCGCTGCACCGGATCTCCAGAAACACACATTTAGAGGGGTGTCGGTGGAAAACACGCGTCCTGTGCGCAGGGTTTGGAGTGGATCAGCTGAGGGATGACAACCTGGAGACCTACTGGCAGTCAGATGGATCCCAGCCGCACCTGGTCAACATTCAGTTCAGGTATTTCTGGAAAAAACCTTCTGAATCACATCGGGTCCCTTCTTACTTCAGATTCATTCTTATATAGACCGAGTTCTTCCCCTATTTATGTTTTAAATTGTTAAACATCTGCTAAAAATCATGTTGGATGTACATTATACATATAAATAATCTGAATTCTTCACTGTCAGTACTTTACTCTGAACTACAGTTTGTAGCTTTTCTTTTAATCTCTACATAAGTCGTCAAAATTTTTATCTAGCCAGAAGGAAAACGATAAGAAAAGAACAATTAGACTAAGATTTGATTATTATAATATGAAATATTGGTTACTGAGCCATTAATGAATCATTTCTTTCGATCTTTTAAATCTAAAGTTTCTTAAAATGGTATTCACATACAATAACGTTTCAAACTTTGTCACATTGAAACTTCTATATAGTATATTGGGATTTATTTGTGTTAGTTCAACTAAAAGTAGGTCACAATTGTGAACTGATGAGAAAAGATATGCGATTTTATCAGTAACAGTCTGAAAAGTGTGGCATACTGCTCTAAATTAGTAGCACAAGAATTACAAAAATGTGTAGGTTTGATTTTACTTGATATGAACAGCAGAAGCTACAAGCGGTTTTTAACTTCTGGATATTCAAAATTTTAGAGTAAAGCAGATTTTAGAGCAGAGTTTTGAGGTTTTATTGTTATCGTTTGTTACGTTTCTGATTTCTGTGTCATATATTTGTCTCTGATTGGTCGTCTGCAGGAGGAGGACGACGGTGAAGATGTTGTGTATTTACGCCGATTATAAATCAGATGAAAGTTACACGCCCAGTAAAATCTCTGTGAGAGTGGGCAACAATTTCCACAACCTTCAAGAGATCAGGGTAAGTCGGTGTTTCTGCGGCTCACTGCTGCTGGACGTTAAACCCGTCTGATTGTTTCATCTTCGTCTCTGCAGCAGCTGGAGATGGTGGAGCCCAGCGGCTGGATTCACATCTCTCTACTAAATCAGGTAAAAAATATCAAGATTCGGTTTTTGAATTCGGTGAAAACAGGAAGCGGTGCAAAACTTAGCTTTTTTTTTCTGCCTGATCTGAAACATGTTTTTATTTTTCCAAGGGTTGAAAGGTTGTTTTTAGCTTTTCAGTCCAAAACTGCGACAAAATATTAGTCACATTAGGACAAATAAAAAGATAAATTATGAGAATAAAGTTGTATGAGAGTAAAGTTGAATTAACAAGAGAAAGAAAGCAAAATATTACAACTTTATTCTTGTAACTTTATGACTTTATTCTCATAATATTACATTATTCTCAAAATATTATGATTTTAACATCATGTTATTTGAACTTAATTCTCCTCATTTTATCTTCTTATTTTTTAAGTATGGTCCTAATGTT